TCATTCTTTACCAGTTGTTGTGTGATGGACTGAATAGCTGAGTCTTGGACTACACGGTTGGTACTGAAGACAGTCTGAAAGTGTTCAGACCATTGGTTCAGAATGGAGGTTTTATCTGTCAGAAGTGTTTGACCATCTGGGCTGAGTATGTTCTTCACATCCTGTCCTGTCCTGACTGGCCCAAGGGCTAGTCATGGCTACTGCATGGGCAATCTCCTGCTTAATCTGTTCGAAGGCTTGTTGTTGTTCAGGTCCCCACTGGAAAATGGTGCATTAATTGGTACCAAATACAGCTTTTCCTGAATCAGATAAAACTTACAGTGGCAACCCCTCTGGTAAGTTAGAAAATCAGCTAAGCTTAATGTTTGGATTCTGTCACTCATTTGTGAGAACTCTTTTGTAAATACTTGAATGATCAAGATTATCATGTTGCATTTTCTTCAAGCAATAAAAGAGCACCCAAGCTTTTCGGGTGACATGTAGTGACAAGCCTGTGCCCTGGACCAAGGGGATGAGTGCAGTGCACTGGTACTTTTGGTACAGGGCAGGGAGCCCCAGTCAAGCAGCACCTACACCAAAGTGTGGCTGGCAGGGCCCAGTGTGACTTGCAGGAAGACACGGAATTACAGAATCATTAAGGCTGGAAAAGACCTCCAAGATCAAGTCCCATCTTTGACCGATCACCACGTTGTCAACTAAAGCACAGCATTAAGTACCATTTCCAGTCATTTCTTTAGGGATGGAGACTTCACCACGTCCCTGGATGGTTCTTTCCAATGCCTGACCACCCTTTCCATGAAGAAATTCCTCCTGATGTCCAACCTGACCCTCCCCTGGCACAATTTGAGGACGTTTCCTCTCATCCTGTCCCTTGTTCCCTGGGAGCAGAGCCCGACCCCTCCCCGGCTCCCCACTCCTGTCAGGGAGTTCCAGAGAGTGAGAAGGTCCCCCCTGAGCCTCCTTTTCTCCAGGCTGAGCCCCCCCAGCTCCCTCAGCTGCTCCTGATGCTCCAGACCCTTCCCCAGCTCCATTCCCTTCTCTGGACACACTCCAGCTCCTCTATGTCCTTCCTGTAGAGAGGGTCCCAAAACTGCCCCCGGGATTTGAGGTGTGGCCTCACTAGTGCCCAGCACAGGGGCACAGTCACTGCCCTGGTCCTGCTGCCACACCAATGCTGGCATAGCCCAGGTGCCCTTGGCCTTCTTGCACACCTGGGCACACCTGGGCTCACATTCAGCCGCTGTCACCAGCACCCCCAGGGCCTTTTCCAGCCTTTCCAGCTGCTTTTCCCCATGCCTGGAGCTGCAGGGGGCTGTTGTGACCCAAGTGCAGGATGTAGTACTTGGCCCTGTTGACCCTCATACAATTGGCCTCAGCCCATGGATCCAGCCTCTCCTGATCCCTCTGCAGAGCCTTCCTGCCCTCCAGCAGATCAACACTCCCACCCAACTTAGTGTTGTCTGCCAACTTACTGAGGGTAAAGCAGTCATTAGAAGAAATTAAAACACCTTCTGAATGGCAGTTGAGCTGAAAACAGCTCAGCCAGGATGATGCTTTCTGCTTCAGCCCATTTTATGTAAGACTCAGCAGCAGAACAAGCTCCAGCAGTGACCTGGTTTAAAAGACAAACACTTAAAAAGTCAGTTCCAGTAAATACAGTTGTTGTCACCTGCTTCAGTAAGTACAGCTACGCTGAAAATCTCAGCCCAGGCAGTTGTGGATGCTGAAGAGACTAATGAGAAGCACCATGTGCAATGCTCACCCTGCCCAGCAGCTTATGAAACAGGAGCAAACGGCTGACCTGGCACGAACCGCTCCCCACACAGCCTGGAAAATTCATCTCGCTTCATTATTGATGACCTCTTTTTAAGGGAAGTATTTGCCTCCAACCAAGAACTCTGGAGAAGCACAGCAAACCAAAGAACGAGTCAAACCCATGGATTTGTTTGCCTCCCCTCAGAGATTCTCGCCAGGATTTTGAAGCAGCACCTGACTTAAAAGAATAATGATCTCATGATTAAATTATTTATATTTGAAACCAACTTGCAGATGCTTTTGTTTGCTGAAAAATACATGAGCTCTGAAGGCTTCAGAGACTTAAAATACAGATTGCGTGCCTGAAGGCGTTCTGCAAATCTTAATCACAATAAAAGACATGGGAATAAACCAGCAGCCTTTTTATTTAAAAAGGACATCCAGTGGCAAGTTGAATGCTGCTGGTGCCCACACAGCCTCAGAGGCCGATGGATGGCTCTCAGATCAGGTTTCTGTATGTTTAGAAACAGAAGAAGAGACCAGGCTCTCTCTGTTGTGATGCTTCAGTCCCACTTGCAGGAGGTCAGGAAGCACAAGGATTCCTGACAGGTTTTTGTTGTGGTTCTGAGCCCGGCTCTGGCAGACTCCAAGTGAACAGGCACCCATCCCCTCACTGCACAGCTCCAAATCCAGCTCTTGGCATCCCACAATGTGTTCAAGCTTCAAGTATTTTTTTCTTTCATTCTAACAATTCCAGAACCTCTGTCTTGCCAAGTCCACTGGAATCTGCAGCTGAGAAGTTGCAGCTGAGAACTGCCTGGTGAGTGTTCCCTGCCCTACTGCTCTGGATTCTGTTAACTCCACAGGCTGCCAGGTGATGGGATACACAAGCCTTGGTAGTTTGTGCTGGACAACAGCTCAGCAGGGCAGATGCTCTAAGAACAACTATTACATTTTTCAGGAGAAACCCACTGAAACCTTCTTTGCCTGAGTGACCTGAATAATTATGGTCCAATAAAGAGGAGAATAAAAGGGAAAAAGTCCAGGTATGTCTGTACTGTACCCCTGCACTGCTTTCAAGTGTTTCACTGTAAGACAAACATGATCCTGCTCATAAGAGGTGATTCTCCCCCTCTACTCTGCCTTCATGAGACTCCACCTGGAGCCTCATGAGTCCAGGTCTGGGGGCCTCAGCAAAAGAAAGATGTGGAACTGTTGGAGTAAGTCCAGAGGAGGCCACGAAGGTGCTCTGAGGGCTGGAGCCCCTCTGCTCTGGAGCCAGGCTGGGAGAGCTGGGGGGGGTCCCCTGGAGAAGAGAAGGCTCCAGGGAGACCTGAGAGCCCCTTCCAGGGCCTAAAGGGGCTCCGGGAGAGCTGGAGAGGGACTGGGGACAAGGGATGGGGGGACAGGACAAGGGGGAATGGCTTCCCACTGCCAGAGGGCAGGGATAGATGGGATATTGGGAAGGAATTCTTCCCTGTGAGGGTGGGGAGGCCCTGGCACAGGTTGCCCAGAGAAGCTGCCCCATCCCTGGAAGTGTCCAAGGCCAGGTTGGACGGGGCTTGGAGCAACCTGGGCTAGTGGAAGGTGTCCCTGCCCATGGCAGGGGGTGAATGAGATGAGCTTTAAGGTCCCTTCCAACCCAAACCATGCTGTGATTCCATGACAGGACAGGGCTGTGGCAGCAAGAAGCACGATCAAAAGTGGGCCAAATCCCCCAGAGTATGGAGCCAGCAAACATCAGCAGAGCCTGGGTGTCTGTCTGCACCTGCCCTTGGGGTGGCAAGGACAACTCAATAAATGAGAGGGTGAACTAAGTGCCAGAAAGACTTTTCTTCCTGCTTTTATGTCTTGGTTAAAAAACTAGAAGGATGAAAATCTGGCAATGAAAAGTATCTAATAATGATACTTAAGAGTGACTTTTGGACAGGTTATGTATTTAGGACAGCACAAAGCAACAAGACACCTGGCTTAGGTACAAAGTTCCTTGTACAGAACAGAGGCAGCTGCCCCCAGAAAGCCTCTCCAGCCAAATCAGATGTGCAGACAGGCAAAATATTCCAGGGAGAAGAATGCTGAAAGTAGAAAAGGTGATACAGCCAAGAATCTTATCAACATTACTGCCCAGTGTTGAGCTACAGATAAATTTCATACTGGAAGGGCTCTGCCTACAGTCACTTATTTCCTTCAAAAGAAAGGCTTTCAGACTTTCAGCACTGCTCTGTGGGCAGTGAATACTCTGCACTGCAGCATCAACAGTGTGACAGCACAGGGAGGGATAAACAGTCCTTCAACAGTTGGCTGGTTTGTAAAAACATTAATACAGGAAATTGTTCTAAATGCCTCATTCAGAACTTGTTCTGAGCTATGTTTAAACTGGTACAGCACACACAATTAAACCATTGACTGCCAGATGCTGGTTAAATACATGTCACAATGGAAATGAAGCAACAAAAGAGAAATTAAAAAATCAAAAATAATTCCATTACTCATCACACAAGTTTCTGATTTGTTTTCTGTTAGCAATTCTTACAGAACATGTACATGAAGATCTTGTACATCAATGAGCCTTGAGACATAACCAAAGAGAAATGTGAGCAATAAAAACTGTAAATGAAATGAACACATGGAAGTCAAACTTCTATTCCTATGTGCAAGGGAGCATTTGAAAATTAATGGTAAGGAAATGGATTAGTACAAATCTGCATCTATACATAAACACAACCTGGAAAAGTTGGATTTTTCTGATTGCAGATGAAATAAAATGACTGAAATGTTTTTGTTGTAACTCACACCATTACTAGCAATAGTGTATTTAGAAAAAGTATCAGTCCCTGAGCCAGCAGGTAAGAACTAGAAGATATTTCTCTCTCTATATATATACTTAAAAATAAAAATTTAAAAATTACTTATGCTTTCAGCCATAAATTCATAAGAGTAACAAAATTGCAGCAATCAATGATGGGAAGAGGGAAAATTCAGCCATAGAGAGACAAACTTCTTTCATTTTGCCACTTGAATTGCTGACAGGCACTTGGGACCAGTTTACAGGTACAGTTCACTCTCAATCCTCCAGTTTTCCAGTTGAGCCTAGAAAAGGTGCTGCTTCTAACAGGGTTTCCAGAAGTTTGATATAAGAAAGAAGTTTTTTACAATGAGGGTGGTGAGGCCCTTGCCCAGGTTGCCCAGAGAAGCTGTGGCTGCCCCATCCCTGGGAGTGTCCAAGGCCAGGTTGGAGGGGGCTTGGAGCAACCTGGGCTAGTGGAAGGTGTCCCTGCCCATGGCAGGGGGTGGAACAACATAATCTTCAAGGTCCCACCCACCCCAAACCATTCTGTGATTCCATGAAATACATACAATGCACAGAATACAGGGAATAGCAGTTCATAGTAAGAAACTATTAACAATTAGGTTATTTGTGTGTCTGTGCACGAAGGACAGGAAACTTTAAGTGTGTCCAGAGATGAAGAAACAAGACAAATGAGTACCTGTGAGCAAAACTGGACAAAAGAGAGCTGACTGTTTCTGTTTGTCTCGTCTTTTTTTTAGCTAGAGTAGAATAAAAAAGGAAAATGAGGCACAGTTACCTTTGCACTCTGCAAAGAAAGAGCTGGGCTACAGAGTACATGGGCTTGGTGCCAAGCTGTGAAATAAAGGACAATGTGGCCATGCCAGAATCCAAGGCCTGACTTTTCTTACCATGGTGGAAATGACAAATTGCCACAAAAACCAAAGGCACATAAAAAGAAAAGTCCTGTGAAGTGCTACCAGATGATATTTCCTTGCTCGATGAGCTTATGTCACTTCTCTGAAAAAGAACTGAGTTCCTACGGAGATTGAAATGCCAATATTGCAGAAAAGCACTGTCCTTGGGGCAAAATCAACCTTTTCCTAGATTCCAAACAGTTTAAATATTAACAGAAGGGAAAATTTTAGGTACACAAATGTATTGGTTGTTGGAAACTTGAGAAGGCTGCTCAGTGTGTCCAGCTCCTTCAGATAATTCTGTCTTCCCCACTGTGTCCAGGTGTAACTGGCTCAAGTGCAAATGGCATCTGGAATGAATGCTCCAGGTCTCTGTAATGCAAAGATACTGAGATATTAGTGGTACAGGAATTATAACAAACGACACATTTACTTTAAAGGGGGAATTGAGTTTCTGTGGAAAAGAGTGCATAACAGCAAAGGTGAGGCCAGAAAATGGTGGCCACCCACCTCTCTCAGGGTTTTGAGAAGACTGTGGCACCAGACTGAAAACCACCCATTTTTTCAAGTTACATTCTGGTGACCAGGTTTTTTTAGCAAGGGCAATGTGTACAGATGAGCAAACAACAGCTGTAATGTTCCAAAGCAATACAGAACTTTTACATTTAACAAGTCTGAAGCAAAAAGGTCCGCAGGTCCTGGACACCACATTTGGCTGTTTTATTAGGGACCTGCATGTTTGAGAGCATGAAGGCAGGAGCCCACAGCTGGTGGTTTGGTACATAGGAAAACTCGCTTTACACATCCTCTGGTCTTGCCTCTACCTGAGTTTACATAAACCAGCTACTGTTTCTTCTTTACTGAGACACTGAACTGTGTTTCATGCTCTCATGACAATCTCAGAGAAGTTGCAGCAATGTTTCTCATTTAACCTGGCTTTCTAGCTAGGCACTTCACAATCCCAGTCATGATGAAGCCACAAAACCCTTTGGGTTGACAGTTTGTGGAGAGCAGAAGGAACAGTGGAGGAGAAGCTCCAACACAAATGCTGCCAAGAGCACCTCCTTGCCAGCCAGTGCCAGCTAAGCAGCCAGGCATGGCACAAAACCACTGCTATTTCCTTATGCCTCTTTCAGATTCTCGTCTATGCCTCTGTTCCTGGCCATTCTGTGTGTTTTGCCCTGTGAAGGCAGCTAAAATTCCAATAATTCTTCATTCAGCTCCCTTGGCTTGGCCAGTGCAATTTTGGGGTTAGTGCTTCAGCTGATGGTGAAGGCAGAGCAACAGTCTTGTTCTAAATGGCCATGTGTAAAGTGATAGGGCTCATTTTTGGGGGCTGAGTCTCCCTCAAAGCAGAGCCCAGCCCTTGGGAGGACAGAACAGCCACAGTATGTGCAGAGGAACTGAGGGTTCCAGGACATGCAGTGTCACATGTCAGACTTAATAGCCCTGGTTACTTGGAAACAGATTCTAAGTCTTCAGTGCTCGGGACAGACTGGATTCAAACCTTCCTTAAAGAAAGGAGAGGAATTTGGAGAAAGCCAAACAACACTTTTTCCCTTATTGTCTTAGTCAGCAGTGAGGAAAAGGAGTGCCTGAGGCAGGGCAATCCTCACACTTCCTATCCTGGCACATGCAAGGGGCCCCCGACAGGGTGAGGTTGCCATCAGCTTTTGAACTCCACATTTACAAACACTCTCATAATTTACCAGTTCCCAGCTGCTTCTGCATTAATCTGAAGTGAACTCAGTTACCTGCAGGGACTAGAACTGTGTAGATAAGGCCTAAAGCCATGCCCCAGTGTGCCCTGCATTCCTGGATGCCATGCCCTGCTACCTCATGGTGCAGGGAGACCACACTCACCTGGTACTTATTGTTTTGGTGCTGAATCAGCAATTGGTTTCTGCACTCCAAAGGCAGTGATAAAAATATTCACAACTACTATAATGAATACTAGTCCAGTTGCAAGGTTGTTGAGGAAATCCAGCTTTCCATGTTTTGCAGGGTTGTTAAGGTCATATTTTACTTCAAAGAGAGAGGAGAAAAAAAAAATTTAGTGAGATGAATATTTCAAAATCCAGAATAAAAGTCTTCATACTGATGTAGTTCAAGGATTTCTCTTATGCTGAGCTATTTGCATCAGTCATATTTAAAAGGGAAGTCAGATATTCTGCAGTGTCAGTAAAAATGCTAAGGGGAAGGTCTGTAACCACAAGGAGCCTATTAACTTCCAGTAATTAGCATCTAATCTCTGTGGAGGCACATAGGAAGTAATGGATGCACTAACGTTACTAGGAATCTTCTGAACTCCTGATCTTTTGAAGCCTAGCTTTGTTGCAGACTTTAAGCATTTAAAAATTATTTCAGCCTTGAATACATGAAGTTTTGAAGCCCTGACAGGATGAAGCTAAATTTCCCACCATTAAAATGCTACAAATCTCTTTACCACTGCTGGATTTTTTTTCTGTGCTGGTGCCCTTCCCCAGCTTGTACTCCCTTGTACTCCCTGCTTTTGCCCTGGCTCTGTTTTTAGAAAGCAAGGGCTCTCTACCTGTTAAACAGAGGGAGATGTTGGAGCAGTGTAGCTGCAGCCCTTCCTACAGAGAGCATCAGCTGTGTAAACATTTTCCTTTGTTTCTTGCAGTTGCTTTTTGCTTGAACTTCTAATGGGAGCGAGGGAGGATCACACAAGGGAGATAGCATTAATTTAGTGTAAATTTTGATTCCAGGCCTTGTGAAAACATACAAATTAGTTACACTGGGCTGATAATAGGCTTGGTACAGGACAGTGAGAAGTCTGAGGTGCTTGCCTGATGTCTTAGAATCATTAAGGCTGGAAAAGACCTCCAAGACCATCAAGTCCAAACTTTGCCCAAACAGCAAACAGCCACTAAAACATCATGTGAATACCCAAGATCTTCCACTGTTCCCTCACAGTAAGGGCTCTGCAGCTCAGACCCTCAGCTACATTTCTTTGATGCTGGTAGAATGAGTGAAGAGGAATCCTGGAACAAGTTTTGAGAATGGTTTTTGCATAGGTCACTGGAGCTTGTGTCTGCAAGAGAAAGTTTATACCTGACAAGTTTTTGCAGCAACATGAATAAAACTTAGAGCTCCTTCTGGCAGGCACATACACAGATGTGCAGCTTATATGACTCTACTGCAGGAGATCAACTTTGTTATTTGTGTGACTCAATGACCCTGCCAACACTGCAGAGCTGAACCACAGACTCCCTTGCTTGTGGCAGCAGTTGAGTGGTGGCAAACACACTCATGATGCTGAAATACTAAAAGCCAGGTTCATCTGGTGTCCCTAATTTGGAAGTCTAATGCTTGTTCTGGTTTCAAGGAATTCTGGGGGCACCTGTTCACGTCCTGTTTGCTAAAGCAGTGTAGTCAAACATCACAGGCCAGGCAAAGCAGTGAAGAACAGTGTGGGGGAACTGTCTGAGAAGCTCCTGCACACCTGTGTAGGCATGAAATAATTTAGCCTCAGTAGTACCTCAACCTTAAAGTGAGTTTACAGGTCTGTAAAGCATCTGGAGGTACATGGATGTTTGCATCCCACCAGGACCTTGAAGGACTCTAGTAACTGCCGTGTGAATGAAGCAGAATAAATGAAATGGAAAAATTAATTCTGAAATGTGGAAAAAAAGGCATTTCAGATGGTTGGTTTAAAAAGGAGAGGTAATAATGGCCTAAACTGTCATGCAAGTTAAAAGAAATCATGCTGAAAGGCAAGCTGACACTTTCAGAGCTGTCCCTTTGTCCAAAGGAGGGTCAGAGAAGACAAGTAATGCTTGTTAGTTTAGGAAGAGCTCTAAATTTTGAAGCAGAATTGCAGTAATCCTATCTTCGTAATTACAGTGCTTAAGATGAGGGTGTTTGTGAAAATGTTCTTAAGAACAGTTATTCTTTAAGTATTTTATTATAGTGGGATTAGATTACTATGATTTCATGCTACTGAAACTATTTCAAGACATTCTTTGCTTTTCTTCCAAAAAGTTAAGATCACCAAATCACTTTCAAGGACAAGTTTGCTGAACATTTCTCACATTGTTTTTGTAAAAGGCTCTTTTGAAGGAGGAAAAGCTTTTAACCCCCTGTAGAAACTGTGAGAACTAGTAGCTCCCAGGATAAAACCTGTCTCAAGGAAAGAAACTGGATGGTGGCACAGACTTTTGTTTGGAGATTGTAGAGGCAGAATTTCGTGGCTGGGCAGAAAGGCAAACTGTTCCTGTAGGCCAAATATACATTGGGAAAAGCAAGTTCTCACTCTGATGCCTGTATCTTTGTACCTTCATGTCCTATTTCCTCTCTTCCTATCTTCTTCCCATCCTTTGACCTCAGCAGGACAGCACTGTTCCAAGAGGGTGTCACCACAAGCCGAGGGCTTTGCCAATCTCAATGTGACAAAGATAAAACCGACAGCACTCAAGCCATTTTGGCAATGTCTTACAGAAACCAGCACTAAAAAGCAATAGCTCAGCACATACTGAGAAATTGTTGCCCAACAAAAAGAGAGGGAACTTGTTTACAGCCTCAAAGCCTGCTGAAACAACCACCAGGGAGATGCCTTGAGGAACATCCACGTATTTTGCTAATTTTTCCATGACTCTCTTCCCACCTCTCCCAGTATCAACAGGTTGTTTTTTTTCCAGTCTCTTTCTGGAATCTCCTCTGAGCCAAGACCTGGATTTTGCTCTTGCACCAACCCTACCAAATGCAGAGACAGCTGTATTCTGTCTCTTTTGTAAGAAAGAAAAAAGCTACATCAGCTACTTATCAATATTACAAGACGCGTATCCTGGATCCCCAGGAACTTCCTCCTTGAACAGAACCTTGTTTTTTCAGCTGTGATTAAAAAAGCAGAACACTGAAGGACTGACAGGGATGCCAAAGGTGGCACCCATGTGTGATCTCTGGCTTTTCATTTACACTGGGCTTATTGCACTCGTTAAGGTAAAGAGCAAGATTTGAAAAAGGTTATGAGAAGAAATGATCACATAAGACCAGCAGAAGGGATCCACAGCTGTTTCCTTCCAGTGGAGATGTCATTTATTTCAGTGAACAGTGTGGTTCAACATTTCCTCTGATTTCCACAGGAATCTTTGCCTGACTCTCCAAAGGGATAGTCTGGGGCTTTGGGTGCTGCTCATTCACGTCACAGGTTTTCAGCAACTCTGCAAAGTGCCACTGGATTCTTTTTGCATTTGGCATCACAAGAGCATGGGGGAAAATACCACAGTAGGTTAAGACAGCAAGGAAAGGTACTGAAGGCTTGTTTAAGGTCAAAACAGAAAACCCAGTTTTCCAGAATAGTGCTGTGTCTCCACTCTTGGTGGAGTTTCAGTTGGGTTTTTTTGGGTAATTCATGATCACTCAGCAATGACATTGTTTTTTGAAATAAGTCTGTTTCTACAGCTACTTAGATCAATATTCTGCCTCACAGAATAAGGCAGAAGGTACAGGACATAAGTGTGCTACTAATTTGGCAATACTAACTTAAAATATCTAATTTTTAGTGATAAATACTGTGTCTTGTGCCTCACAGTGTTGAACCTGTTAATATCGAATGTCTGTTTTTGAGAACAGCAAAACCACTGCATTGAACTTCTAGGAATGTGAAGGTCTGTAATTCAACAAGACAGAAAGGGGAGAAGGGGAAGGCAGGGAGCAGGGAACTAATTCTACAGCTGCCTCATTCAACGTGCCCAAAGCACACATTTAACACAACTCCTATCTGAACTCATCCTCTTGAATGAGTGATTTCCAGCATATGCTAATGGTATCACATCACATTTCCTAGGCAGAAAGTAAAAAGGGTTTCCCAAGCAAGTTCCAGGATTATACTCACACTGTATTTTGATGTCATGTGTCATTTCAAATTTTGGACTGAAGTCACTATGACTTCCTGTGGATAACAGATGAGATATGCTCTTCGGGTGAAACGCTGCTCCAAGTAATCTGTTTTTCTTTTTAATTTTAATTTCAGTTCAACATGGATTTGAAAATTAACAATAACGAGTATATTTCTACCAGTCCCCACTTAGAGATTTGGGATCTCTAGCTGGGGAATGGTAGATGCAGTTTGGTTGCAGAAACACAGCCAAGCTGAAGGCAACGTGCCACACCAACACGAAAATGGGCATTTTGACTTTCACTTCTCTTTCAGAGTTCCATATTCACAGTAATTTTTTTCTATATGACTGATATGGAAGAAACATATTTCAGTCGTAAGATTAAGTAACAGGTCTTGCTGGAAACAGTATTATGAAACTGGGCAGGCTGCATGATCCTATCTGGCCTACTGATGTTTCTTTTATGATATTTCATCATTTTCCTTCCTCCTCAGGCTTTCTGCTGAGAAAAACAGTCATACTCTGGGAAATAAGAACATTGCTAAAAATAGAAGATTCCACATAAATCTGCCCTTCCTGCCTTTGTTGCACTATTTCTAGGGTTTCAAGAGAAAATCAATATTTTTGGATATTTAAGAAAATTTTTTCACTTGAAAGAGTTGTCAAGCATTTGAACAGGCTGCTCAGGGAAGTGGTTGAGTCACCATCCCCGGAGATAACTAAAAGATGTGCAGTGGTGGTGTTCAGGTACATGGATTAAGGGTGAACATGGCAGGGCAGAGTTAACTTCTGGACTCAATGTTCTTAGGGGCCTTTCCCAACCTAAATGATTCTATGATTCTAACTTTGAGCAGTTCTGAGGTAAAGACTTCCAAACACAACAGCTGTAAGAAAAACACATCAACGGCTCTTGCCGTGGCCACCTACCAAGGAATATCAGGAGCACTCCCACCATAATTTGCAGTGTGAGTGACAGGCTGATGAGAACGATGAGGGGGATGTAGAAGTTGAAAGAGGGTCCTTGCTCCATCACAGCTTTCAGCTGGGACGCGTTGGCCATGAGCAGGGCGATGTCCAACATGCTCTCAGCCGCGCTCTTCTTGTTGGCGTAGTGGTTGATGTTGAGGGGCCCGTTCCTTTGAAAGAACTGCAACCTTCTGTGCTGGAATTGGGAGAGAAGAATGATTATTCACCTCTCTCTTAACTGGTGGTGAGTGAGAGATCCCTCGGCCCATCCACTAATTTCTGTGATCATGTGGACAGCTGTTACCGCCGTCCTCCCAGCTGAGAGGAGAGCAGAAAACAGGGCCTGCCTGTACTGCCCTTTGGCAGGTACACGTTTTCCAGCTTGCCTATAGGATCAGTCTAAACAGTGGGAAAAGGAAAGATCGGGAAAGCTGAAAAGTTTGCCCTGACAAAAAGTTGGGAGGGAAAAAACACTGTAATACGATCCAGCAAACAACAGATTGTTGGGACTAATTTACTCCTGAAGGCACACTTAAAAATACAGATTTATTAAATTCACTTTCTCTCATCACACATCTAAAAAGTTCCTTCATTACTCACAAGTCTTATTTTGAGGATTGATGTGGAAGTTGGCCACTGTGTGAGCTTTGCTTGCCCTCTTTTTCCTGCTGCTTCTTCCTCCTCCATGCCACCGTCCAGGGCCATCCACATACAGATGTTTTTCCACTTTACTGTAATCATATGAGCCGTGGTTGCCAAGAACTGCCCAGCTACAAGGGAATCTTTTTCTTTTTCCATTTTCACATCAGATGGTTTTGGTATTTTTGGGGTTTTTTTTTGTTTGTTTGTTTTGTTGTTGTTTGTTTGTTTTGGGGGTCTGTTTGTTCTAAGCTGCTCTGCAAGCAAATAGGAAAATAAAAACCAACTGCAGGGCAAACCCAGGGCTAGTTAACCAGCGGGATAAATAAATGTTTCCTGATGACGGCTCATGGGACTCAACTTGAAATTTGACAGCTTGTCTCCCAGAGGTGCCTATTTCTCCATGGATTAGATGCATCTTAGGGTGACTAGGATAGACTTAGCTGCCTGACTCCACGGGGAAGGAAGAGGAGCTGATTCTTGATCCTGTAATCTCTGAATAGGGCAGGAACTTCATTCTCTCTGCTCTTACTTTGAGATTTTATTTTCAAAAATAATAGACTAATATATGAAGAGTAAGCTCATTCTAGCTGACTTCTTCAAACCTGCTTCCTAGAGACCTTTCTACTGGCCAGATGTGTTCCCGCTTGCCAGAAAATGCTGTGAGGGAAGTCTGGCTTTGAAGGTTAGTTCAAATGTAGAAGACGCCCTCTAATTACTCTTCCCAGCAGCACTAAAAACAATCACATTTCCAACTCCAAAGCCAGGCTTGCCACAGTCCAGACCTAAAAGCCTCCTTTTAAATAGGGCAAATATTGATGCACATATTGCCAGTTTTTCCAGGGCATTTAAACACCAAACTTGACCTGTTTTCACCAGACATGCTGTAATTCACCATAAGCCTAAATATTTGACTGAGTGTAAATCGACATGGGGCAGCAGCAAATGTTTTTCTGTGAAGGGAAGCAGTCGTGTAATCGCAGCTCCACGCAGAGGCTTCTTCACTGAGACCAAGCTCCTGGGAAGAAAATGGCTCTGAGACAGATACCAGCTTCAGCCAGGAAGAACTCGATAATCATTTGGTTTTGTCTAAATCCCACAATCCAAAAATGCAATTGGGCTAGGGAATCTGTCCCACATTTGCCACCCTTTTTTCTCCTCCAGAAGAGCCTCCTATTTACACCCCCCTGCTCCATTATACCACCACAGCATTTGGATGCTTCAGAAAAAATACCGTAATTCCTGCATATCATCCACCAGAAGCACTAAACCAGGTGCAGACATTCAAGTTTCCCTTAGGGAAAGAAAGCAGCATTGAATATATGCTGGCAGGGTTCAACAGAAAAATCCAGACCAACATTTTTCACTGTTCATCGTGCAGGAAAAAGCCAAACACACACATTTAGCTCTTAGCTACCTGATGCAGCAGAGTAAGAGGGGATGAGGAATTATGTGTGTAACATCAGAATTCCAGTTCTGGGCAGGGATTATAAAAGACTGTTCCCAGTACACCACAGAATTAATTTCTATTTTGTCACAAGTTCATAATAGAGGAGAATTTTCCTGCGTCTAGGAGCTAATTAACTCCTTCTTGCCAAAAATACTGACTTTGAAATCTCTATTGGGTCTGCAAGGCTGCAGTGTGTCACAGGCACAAACTACCAGGGAATATGTGAATCAGCTCTTAATCCCGATGGAAGGGGACTGCAGTGAAAACACGACGACTGGTTTCTTTGTTTTCCCCCCATGTAGGAATGTGAACATGTTTGACATGTTTTATCCCTACAAGAGAGTAAATAGTCTGGGTGACATCTCCCTTTCAGTCACATCTGTGACTCCATGATGTAAGGCAGTTTCTACATAAACAACAGAACACAGTATTTTCTTTCCCCTGAGGAAATGTACTGCTGCACTTTCAGGACCTTGCTGTTTGCTAATTTTCCATATGGTGGAAACAGCAGGCTCTGGTGTTTGAACTGCAAAGGTCTGAGCCCCTTCTGGGCTCCAATAAATGGAGACTTTTCAAGGTAGGGAGCTTCTAAGGCAAACTAAGGAAAAAATCTTCTTATTCCTGGAATGACAACTCAGCTATTAACTGTGTTTAGAATCTGAAAGCTGGCATTTTACTCAGTTAAGAGGCTTTCAGCTACCATTCCTGAAAGCTGACCAGTTCAACATCAGAACCAGGCATATGCAGAAGTGAAATGTCAGAGCTTTTTCTCGGCCTGTCATCTGGCCTTCACCAGGAAAAAGGACCAGTAATCAGGAAAGCCCCAGAAACAGCCACTTCCCTTCCCCTGACCGAGGAATGGGACCTCCTGACTCATGCTGGAAAACCATAAAACAAAACAAACAAAAAAGCAAGTTAGCCTGGCCTTCTGGGAGCAAGCTGAAGGCCACTGCCAAAGGTATTGAAAGTGATGCAGCCAGTACCACAGAGGCAGTTTTTAAGATCAGACTACGTGTTCCACAGCAATATATAGACAGGCAATGAAAGAAGAGCCGTTGCCTTAACCTCAGGATAATGACAGCTGTGCACAACAGAAATTACATGGGAACTTTGTGATGTGGCTTTATGGTCTCAGTGAGATTCCAAGCATGTAGCAGCACGTGCAGCCCTCAGCACCAAACAACACCTCCTGATCACCTGCAGGGGAAGTGGAATGTCTGGAGATTTTCTAGGATGCAGGTAAAGCGAGGCTTTTCCTGCAGGTGCCACTTGGCAAAAGAGCAGAATGTACTCCACGTGACCTGCTTCAGTCTCAGTGTAATCAAAACACCTCATTACACACATTCAGTATTCAAATTACCCGGTGCAGACAAGCTGAGCCCTTCAGTTGCTGTCTCCAAAGGAATCTGAGCGAAAACAGAGCCGGAGTGCAGCCGAGCCACGTGTAGCTGGAACTGCCTTCCCTGCAGTCCCAGCCTGCCCTCAGGTCCCCTGTGCCACCCAGCTTCACCTCTGAGCACAACCACCCCACCAGTGTTGGTCTGTGCACGGTTCCACAAAGGAGAGCAGTGAAAAGCTTCCCTCTCCTGCTCTATCTGTGACTGGAAGAATCCTATGGAAGAGCTTATTTTCCCAGTGACACAGTGCTGTCCCCACAGACAGTACCTCTCTGGGTCTGTTTGCTTGTCCAGAGCACTGCAAGGATAAAGCTACAATGCCACATCAGAAACTGGCACTTTTTTGGCTCTGTAGGACCAAATCTTCTCCTCCAAGACTGCATGGCACTGGGTTTACAGTCTCACTGTGTTGGCACAGACTCTGCCACTGCTTTGCTTCACTCCCCATTTCAATGGTCCACCCAGAAGAACTGAGTCCCTTCAAAATACAGAAAGGATTTAACTGTTACATTTTTAAAAAAAATAAATAAAAGTGGCTCTGAGGCAAATGTCCTCAGGTGCTGAGTTTCATGAATCAGGGCTATGACCCACCTGGTGACTCAACAGGAAGGAAACAGCACTGAAAATGGAAACATTTGAAAACAAATAATAAAGTATCTTTGCTAAATACAGTAACTGTTATAGTAAGGATTACAGCTTTAAATCCTTGCTTGTGACAAAATTTATGCAGTCGTTTGTTCAACAGTCTCTATCAAACACTAGTGACTGTTGAAGGGGTCAAACCCACATGGTGAAAGTCTGACCAAAAAAAAAAAAAAAAAGAAAGGAAAGCCCAAAAGTTATTTGTTTTTCTTGTCCAGCTTCCCAAAATGTGCCTCTCAATCTGTCCAGAGAAGACAAGGTGGGGTTTTGGATCTGCCAGTCTTCTGTAATCCACAGAGAAAAAAAAAAAAAACTGGAGAAAATGACATTTATTTTGCATTTGTATTTATAACTTATGTTTGTTTCTGTCTCTCTGCCCTATGAATGCAGAAGGAAAGAAAGCATTTGGATTTTGCATACAAGGTTTTAGGATTCACTCCTTCTCTTCTGGTATATTCCTAGGTACTTCAGTCAGCTTCTCCCACCACATATGAGATCCCTTAAAGAGACTGTTTTAAGAAAAATCTAAAAAAACCCAACCCCAAACCAAAAATTAAAGCCTCACAAAAACTGTAAAAGGCAAGTATTGCTTGAACCAATAGGACCTTGAAATCACCAATTCAAGAGTCAGATCTGTTATGGACACTGAATGTCCTGGTCTTGTTTGGAAGTCAACACACATTTGCAGCAGCACAAGACTTGTTCCTGTTTTCTTCTTAAATCCCACCAGCAAAGCAGTATTTTGCAGTTAGCAAGGTGAAGAATGAATACTCAGAACCAAAACCTGCAAAGCACAAGCCAGAAATACAACCTGGGTTGCTTTAATTTTAATTTGCAATTTGTAATTGCAGCTACTTAAGATCAGCTGCGGCTGCAGGACCCAGAGCTCAACAGGTTTTGCATGTCAGGCCCAGAGTCTCATGTCTGGGTTCTGAAAACACACAAATACTTTTTTTAATATTGCTTCGGTATTAGCACTCAGCACTTCCATGCTATTCTAACTTTCAACCATTATGCAGTAGAATGTCTTTATTAAATACAGGAGAGCCACAGTTTTGTATGGGATAATTGGAGAAATATTGCTGATTATTAACTTTATATTCCAAACAAGGTCTCCAATAACTTTGCTTCTAATTAATAACACCTTCCTGAAGCTGTCAGAAAGTTCTCTGCCTTCAGTTACATTTAGTCTTGAATACAGTTTATATTTACTCTGGAACAGTCTTCATTGTCTTTGGCCTGCTCTAACCCTTCCTGCCCTCTGATCCTTCCTCTTTTGGGTTAGTGATTACTGCAATTTTATGGGAAAACAGCCTCCATTCGAACTGAGGCTGGACCAGCACGACCTCTGGGTTTGCAATGCCATGGAGCAAGCTTCCTGAAAACCTTATGTTCAGGGACAAATCGGAATTTTAAAACAATGGAAACTTGCTATGTAATCGTGAGCTGTGCAGAGCTAAAGCAGAGCCATTCTGATGTGTTTTGCAATAGCCTTCCCAATCAGAACTGTTGAAAAGATGCTAAATTTTTCCTTTGTTTGTTTAAAAAGCAATTTGCTAAGGTTTTGAATATTCATCTTTAAGAGAAATACCACATGGCAAACTTTTCCAGATCTCTGAGGTGAAATTTCACGTTCAGAAAAAATTCCAGTTAAATCAAAAAAGAGAAGGATCAGACATAAAAGGAATAATGCAGGACTAAAACAGAGCACAATTTCAGAACTTTTATTTTTTCCAAGATCAACCCTAAAGTTACAAAACTGCACTAGTAACTTTATACTAATATTTAATAATCCTCATAGACGTGGAATTTCTGTCCACATCTCCATCACCTACACACTGAAATTGCAAAGGGCCATATGTGGCCATGCTGAAGTCAGACTTCCCCTCCATCTCAGAGATCTTGCTGATCTATGAAAAACAGGGAAGATATTCTAAAAAGAAAAAAAATATTCTCCCACCAAAAATAATTTAAGCCATATCAGTCAAGTAATGGATGATTAGGTCCTTTGAACACCTCCTCAGAAGATATTTCATGGTTTTTTCCCCTCAGTAAAACATTAGATCACTTGTTCAGCTTAGCACTGACTCAGAGAGAAAAAAACCTACCTCTGGCTCTGGACTGAATCATCAGTTCCATTCCCTATGCAAATTCCACCTTAAGGAAAGGGGGAAGATGTCTATCCAAGATGTCAATTCAAGTTTAACACTAATTCATGAGATTTCTGCAATCACATCTTGGGACGGTGTGGGTGCAGGCAAATAAAAGAAAAAAGGAGAAAACTCAACCTGTGCTCATATATCATAGACATCATGATTTTCTAACAGCTTCAAAACCCTGTGCTTAAGAAAAATCACTTCTTAAGCAAACAGAAAATGCAAATATGACTACAGGAAATAAAAAAAAAGTGGCAATCATGCTGACTCCTGAGAGCTAAAAAAGTTAATATTTAAAAAAAGAAAAGTACAGTCTGCTGATGTTTTCCTAAAGCTGTACTGGTTCCAGGATCCAGTTAGAATATTTCTCATTAATACTCATTAAATGACTTAAATATAACCAGCACACCTCATGACTAACTTTGTGAAATGAAGGTAGTAACTTAAACTTGTTCCCACAGCTATTTTAAAGAAGTCTGTTCCTGTAGATTTTTTTCTGCCTTGCATTATTACTGCTCATTCCAGTCATTTGGTCTTACAGTACTATTTCTCACAGCTGGGCTGTGGGCTGCCTATTTTGTGTGGTTAAAACACTATCTGTTTACTCTGGCTACTTAAAAAACAGGCAAACAAAAACTTATCACCAACAGCATCAATATTTGCAGTATATCAAATACTCCAAATTCAGTTTGATATGACTAATGTTCTAGAACATAATTTCAAGTTCCTACAGGTTGGTTACTTGCAGTATGATGCCAAGAAACTGCCACGTACCAAATTACTTCTGAATTACTATACAGACTTGAATATGTTTTTAGGAATTACATGATTAAAGCTTTTTATTTCTACTATCCAATTCTTGTTCACCTCTTGCATAGCTCTTCTTTAACTCCTACATCAAGAATGTCCTGTTATCTTGGAAACACTAAACTGGATTTTACGGCACGGTGGATTGGAGTGTTTCAATATGGACCGTGAACAAGGAGAGCAACTAGATGAAGATGAAAAAACAGTTACAATCTGTATTTGTGTGAACAGATCCTTTGCAGAAGAGGTAGACAGTTCTGCCACATTAGTCAGTGAGGTGTGCCAGGCCAGCCCAGCCTCAGAAACAAGGAATTTCTTGCTTCTAAAAGCTTGACAGCTGCTAAAACAGTCATCCAAGTTAATGATGGAGTTAAAATCAACCACATCAAACCACTGTGTGACCACTCATTCAGAACTACAGAGGGCCCAACTGGTCTTTTTCCAATAATTTGAGTGCTTTCATTGCTTTGCAGGCAAGACAACTACACCTGCATTTTGTGTCAGCTCTTCTGCAGGAGGAGGCAGTGGTTTGTGGTGAAGATGTACAGGAGAGTCTGTTTTGAGGAGAGGACAAGTGGTGGGGTGGGCAAGGAGCAAACCAGGGTGGCCCATATTGTGGTGTTTGTGACCATTCCTAAAAGAAGATACACACTTTTGATTCCAAGATTTAGGCACCTACAGATGGTCTCTCCAGGTTTACTTGGCTGCTGAGCTGGGGTGTTCTTTTGTTTGTGTGAATTGTGAACTTTGGCAGATTTTTTTAAGGTAGCTCCTATTCATAGATTGGTTTTTGAGAAATCTATCCCCATCTGTTTTACCTTGCATGTATTGTGCGTGTGTGAGAAAATGAAAAAAGTTTCTATAAAGTTCTCTGAAGTGCCACTGTATACATTTAAAACAATATAATACCATGTCTCACTGCTTATTCTTTATATGGCACTCACAGAGAACTTGAGTTTTGATGGGAAAGACATAACAAAATGATGGTTGCTTGAAACCCAAGATGAAGTAAAACAGGAAAGTTTCAGAAAAATTCTTGGAGCAGACCATACCAAAAAAAAAACCCCTATCACGAGTACTTGTGATGTAATCACAAACTGTGTCACAAAAATGAGAGGATTGCTGAGAAGTCAGAGGCTTACAGGAAACCACTCCAGGCCAGCAGTTTGACCTGTATATCCCAGCCCTCATTCACTTCAGGTAGGATTTCCAGGATTTATTAAAACCAGATTATTAGTTTTCTTGGTATGATATTCATGACTCCAAGGGGTTGTCAGGGACGGAGGGAGGAAGGGAGGAAGGACAGATATGCTACACAATGAGCCCAGTCTGTTTGTAACCACAAAGTTTTACCAGTGACACGGAAGGTTGTTTAGTACAACGGTTTCTATGTGGCAGAGCCTTAGGTTGGAATAAGAGCTGCCTGTAGAGTTTAGTCCTTTCCAAAACAAGATAAAAGATGCTCTTTTACTAGTCTGGTTTTCCAGATAAGTAGCATGCTCAGCAAACATCCTTCACACATAAACAGAATATGGGATGAATGCTTTCCAGCGAGGATCTCCAGTCATGTTTTGACTACATGGAGTACTAAAGAGTCGGGTACTTCACTTCTTGTTTTTACTTGAATTACTGTATGGAAAATTAAATTAAATAAATACAGGCCCAACCCCTTCAACAACTCCTCCTACTTTTGTAATTGCTTATTGCTGTGTGGATATCCCGGAGTAACTTTCACCATCCTCTCCCAAGTCACCTGGGGGGGGGAAACCCCTCCAGGTGCGGCCAGATCCGGGCAGATTCCAGGATGTCCAGGGAGGACACCTGGGACCTTGGGGGTTACAGACACCCGGGGGGGAACAGACACTCGGGAGCCTGGGGGGGAACAGACACTCGGGAGCCTGGGGGTGACAGACACCCCGGAGCCTGGGGGGACAGACACCCGAGACCTTGGGGGGACAGACACCCGAGACCTTGGGGGGACAGACACCCGAGACCTTGGGGGGACAGACACCCGAGAGCCTGGGGGGACAGACACCCGAGAGCCTGGGGGGACAGACACCCGGGACCCTGGGGAGACAGACACCCGGGACCTTGGGGTGACAGACACCCGGGACCCTGGGGGGACAGACACCCGGGACCTCGGGCTGGCAGGTGCCGGAGCAGTGGCTCTGCCTGCCAGGGCCGGCGGGGACGTTCCGCTCAGCCCTGCCTTGGCAGGTGGGCCCCGAGCAGCGGCCTCCCCACACAAACAGCGCCGAATCCACGGCAGACATGGCAAAACACAGTAACAACCGCGAAGCACCGATGGATCGCCGGGGCTGCCCTCCCGCCCGGACTCCCGCAGCCCCGGGGCGGGCACGGCCGCGGGTCCCCCCGTTCCCGACCCCGTTCCCGGCCCCGTTCCCGGCCCTCACCCTCTCGGCAGCCGCCGGCTCCGCGCCCTCCGCCTGCCCGTTCAGCTCGTGGGTCTCGCTGCCCGAGTCCATGGCGGGTCCCTCCTGCCCGGGCGGGCCCGGCCGCGGGGAGAAAGTTTCCAGGGAGGCGGCGGCTCCCGGGGCCGGGCTGGTCTCCCCGCACACCGCCCGGGGAGGATCCCGCTGGAGGGGCCGCCTCCTCTCCCTCAATCCCTCCCCTCCCTTCCTCTCTTCTCCCTCCCTCTCTCGCCGCCGGCGGGGTTTCCGAGCAGGAGGAGCCGGGCCAGCGCCCAGGAGCCCCGTGGGTGAAGATTCTGCATCCGCGCCTTGAAGGTTCTGCATCCCCGGCCCCCGCACGGTGAGAAGGGCTGAAGGTTCTGCATCCCCAGGCCCCGCACGGTGAGCAGGGCTGAAGGTTCTGCATCCCCGGGCCCCGCACGGTGAACAGGGGTGAAGGTTCTACATCCCAGGGCCCCTCATGGTGAACAGGGGTGAAGGTTCTGCATCCCCGGGCCCCGCATGGTCCATGAAGCCCAGCCGGGCCGGGGTTGAGCCCCAGTTTCCAGTGCTGGCCGTGTGTGGTGTTGTGGTCTGTTGGTGATCGGTAATGGATGCAAGTGGCTCATTTCAGTGACCTCTGTCCTGATGAATTGGAAGGCTGGGGTTTGATTTTAAGAGAACTTCCATCAGTGTTTTAGGGTTTCAGTTTCACTACTTTATTTTTTTCTTCTCATTGTCCTATATATTTTTTCTCCCTAGGCTTATTTTCCCACCGGAGTGCGGCAAAAGATGCACATAAAAACAATTAACATACAGGTTTGATGGTGATGGGACATCAGAGGAACACTTGCATGCATAGAAACAACTGGCAATGAGAGCAGTAAGTGTGAAGTATGAAACAGCACAAAATAATTCAAATTACAGTTTAAAATGTTACTGTTATGCACAAGCCCTCCACCACTTAAACTTTACAGTGTTCAGAGTAGAAAATAAACGTAAAAAAAAATAATTTGGTTTATATGGCCATAGGTGACTTCTTTTAAAGCCTGAACTGCTCATCTGCCCTGAAAATGTTCCTCAGTAGCTGTTCAAACAGGCCACTTCCTATGTGTGGTGTCCAAAGTGTATTCCTTCAAAATCCACTGTTAGGAATCACTTTTCTCACTCTCTAAAGAGAACTAAAGGATATTCTCTTTACAGAATGCAAACAAACACATAGAATATAAATAAACGTGCAGAATGTAAATATATCTAAATATAATTTGAATTTTTTAAGTCGATATTAAAAAAATGAAAATTCAGACTGAGGCTTGAGGACTGTGACACATCAAATAAATATCTCTCCTGTATACCATATCCCTGCAGCTTTTCCCTTGCAGCAGCAGAACTCACCTCTCTGACATCCAGTAACTACTTAGCAGGTAGGAGAGTGGAATTGTGACAACCACCTTAAAATTTTATGTGTCTCTGTTTAGTCCTTTGGAGTTTCTCCAGTGGGGTTTAATGGAAATTTATATTCACCTTGACATTAAGCTACACTGACTTCTCGTAGCCGATTTCTGTTTAGGAGTTCACAGTGGTTTTTTGCTAAAGCAGACTTAATTGGTGACTGAATCCATTTTTGGATTTGCAGAAGCATATAGACAACCAGATGTGGCAAAGTACAAATTAAGCACACGTTGGGCTTCTGTTTTTCACGCTGAAGGTTGCTGAAGATTTCATTTCTCTGTTCTCACCACTGTGCTGAACTGATCATTAACGTTCATCACACAAAGCCCCTTGACACAGTGTACACTCACAACTTACTGCCTCCATAAACGGCACAGCAAACATTTATTTAATTAGACTCTACAGGAAATCCTCATCTATCTTGACTCCTTGGCTGCCTCTTCAGTGCAGTGAGTTAGGAAACACTAACTTAGAGAGAAATAAAGATTGTTATTATTATCAATCATAGAAAATGGAAGAAACCACGTATTACGAGAGCAAAGATACACGTGTATGTGTATAAACCATGCTGTTGTCAGTTCTTACCAAGCCCAAGGCTTGAAAAAGCGCATTGCTTCCCTTAATTTTTGGGTTTGTGGTAGCTGAACTTCAGTAATGCACTCAGCAAGGCCAGCTGCTATCAGGCACATTATCTGTTCTGTTAGCAGTCATTAAATATGCTTGGGCCATAATTGCTACTGTGTTTGGATCCCAAGACAACCTGGTCAGAGCCCTCTCTGGTTGCAAGCACCCAGGGATATTTTCAGAGATGCTGCCGTATTTTTCTGGCCCCTTTTTCATATTCTGTACTTCCTTCAAAGTGCATTTTGTGAAACTCACTTGGCAGTTGTAAAGGTTTGATGTGCTCTAGTGAAATTATTTTGCCTTAGTCTTACGTGACACTTGCTGAGTTATTCCTTCTCTGCACTAACTCACTTTGTGCTGCACAGTCACATGCCAAAAAGACCTGAGAAAGTAAGACCTGATGTTAATCCTATGGGATTTCAGTGGAACTGGGAAACAGCTTAGTCCAAGCTTGTGGCCTGTGAGCCAGGATTCACAAATGCTCCGAAAGTCAGTTCTCTGCTGCAACATTGTATGGTTGCATTTATCAGTGCAGTATCAATTTCTTTAACAATGAATTTTCCTGTTATCCAGCCTTTGAGTTAGTTTTGTTGTATGAATCTGAAAAAGAAAATAAATCTTTTGTTTATTATGAGAAAGGCCCGGCCCTCCCTGCAGGAAAGCAGCCCCAGACTCAAACTGTCTAAGAGAGATACAGCCTGGTGATGTTATCACTCTGCAGCCAAGAAGTGAAGCAACAAGACAACACTACGTGGTCATTCTTGTTTGCATGTGAATTATAGAAAGAGAACTCTGCAAGAATTGTCACAGGAGTCTGAGTCAGGGGCTTTGGTGAGTGCTTTGCAGAGCAGATATTGGAGGCTTCAGAGAGGGCCCCTGGGATCACTGTCAGAACAGCCCTTGAAATCCGGGTGGGAATATTAGGTCAACACCCCCCCCCCCCCCCCCCAAAACTGCTCTGCATCTTTGCTTCTTAGCCATGAAAGGAATTTCCAGTCTCTAACAGACTCTCAAGCTGTTAATTGTTATTAACTCTCTTGTGGTTTTTTCCCTCAAAATCACTGTGATGATTATGGGACAGGTACCAAATGATCCTAAAACACTCCTGACATCTAACTAGAAAGGATAGCACTTTGCATTCACAAAAATTTCAAGAGTTTTTTGGTTTGACTTGCATTTGGGGAGGGATTTGCCTTTTATTTTACTAGGAATTAAATTTCTCTGCCTGAATACTGTTTATGTGGCCGAAGAGACAATCTGAAGAAACCCAAAATGAAAAAATACATGGTACTCCCTGGCATTTGTGGTCACTATAAAAACAAGCTGTGATGCAAACTGGTGCTTCTGAACTAGAGCAAAAGTTCAAGCAAACAAATTGGCATTTTGTATAATTTCCCTGTGGGAAAAATGGATCAGTCATTCAATGATGCAGGAGAGAGGGAACTAAGGAGGAGGGTGCTGGTGATGAAAAATGAGGCTACTTGAGGTGTTTAACATGGACATAGAGGTTGAAATTCCCAGACTGGTACTTTGCATCAGGTACAACTGCATCACCTTTTATAATCACCTCCTATCTCCCTCAGCACATCCTACTTTTTTTTTTTTTTTTCTGGCATCTTACTTTACATGTATGAAAATTTAGTTCCTCGCCCTGGCATGTACTCTCAAAAAAAACCCCAAGTCCCTTTTTTTTCTTACTCTAAGATATGTGTAGTTTGATTGTTTCTTTGTTCTGGAAGAGGTGAAAGTGCATCATATCTTTGAAACTACTCAGAGCAAAACCACATCATTTTGTGCTTTCTTCCTTTTTCGGGTTCCTGTTACTCCTGCAAGCCTGGCATTATACCCTGCAGAAAATCATGGTGTTTGAAAAATAATGTTCAAGGTAAATACTTAATCTAGGCAGTCTTGTTCCGAATGCCTGACTGATTTTAATGAAAATAACATTAATAAAATTAACTAGCTGTTAGTATCTGATATCTTCTTAGTTCATGACTTCTTGGGTGTGAGCTTCAGGAAAGAAAACGACTTTTGTCTTTACATTCTCACCTGAGCTATGCATTTAGTTGTTTTCTTGTGATGTCTGTCATAATTTCCTGTCTGATGCTTGCTCTTTGTGCTTACATGAAGTGCTTGGGATTTGGGAGGAGATACAAAAAACAGCAGTTCCATGATGCAGTAGAGAGATATTCACCTAAGGACAAGAGACCTATCCCACTTTCCCTTTTTAAAAAAAAATTGGGTGAGTAAAAAAATGAAAGCATCAATTTGGAGAAAAATCAGAGGATTTGCCTGACAAACACACCCTGCCAGTGGAACTGCAGAATTCCCAACATCTTCCATTCGTCACTCCAAAATCAGCCTTTGCTTCATGTGCTTCTGTCTGCTTGTTCCCAGCAAGGCTACCTGTTTAAAATAGCTTGATAGTTGGTGTGAAAATGGTGCTTTTCTCTATAATGAATGGTGGCCAGTATGGAATTACTTCTCTGGGTTGGACACACCCAGCCAGGTAACCGACACCGCAAGCTTATCTCCTGCAGTTCATTTTGTGTCCAGGACTCGTGATACATAATTTAGATCTGACCTGTTGCATACCCTGGATCTTCAGTAAAACTATATTTAAGTGACACTATTAATTCCATAGAGCCATAACGTTTATGTTACAAAATTACTGACTTACCTTAGAAGGTAAGGCTGCAAGTCTGGTCTGACTGTGGCTATCAAGCATGTACCCAAAAAAAGTTTAAACTGTCTATCTGGACAAGGCTATGTGTTGGAAAGAAAGAGGAAGAAAGACGTAAAACTATTTTGGGTTATGGCTACAGCAGTCACTAATATTAGAGAGGGTTGTGAGAGGAGGAGTTGGTTGAGCACGCACACTGAACGATGCTTAGATAAGCTGAAACTTGTCAAAGTGAAGTTTTAGGTGGGGAATTAGTTGTAGCAGTACATCTGTATTAACCTGAGAAAAAGGAGGCTCAGGGGAGACCTTATTGCTCCCTACAATCACCTGAAAGGAGGTTGTAGTGAGGTGGGTGTCAGCCTCTTCCCCCAGGTAACAAGTGACAGGATAAGAAATGGC